CCTACTCTACCTCTCTCACTGTCTTATTCCCTTGAGACAGAGTATGTCACTAACCTTGAGCTAGGCAGCAGGCCCCAGCAATCCTTGCCTCTATCACCCACAGTGTTGGGGTGACAGGTACAGCTGTAGCATGAAAAATAAAAGACCCAGAGACTGGTATTGGGGTCCAAACTTCAAGCTGAAGAACAGAAGAGCAAAGTAGTGAGCCACTAGCTTTTACCACTACCTCAGGCTGAATGGACTGATCCTGCTGCCTCTTCTCAGAGTGGCTGGAGAATCTTCAGTGTGGCTGGAGAATAAATGCCTGACATTGAGACCTTGCTCTTGTCCATAATGCTGGTATTAAAGGTGAGTGATACCAGCTTCTGAGATCATCTTTGTGTGAGCTGTTTCTCTTTAGGACTGGATCAATCTTATATAGATCTGGGTGGCCTTGGACTCACAGAGATCCATATACCTCTTAATCCTGAGTCCTAGGATTAAAGGTGAACACCACCACCTCCTAGCTTCTGGCTGCTGGGATTAAAGGTGTGTGCCTGGCTTCTATGGCTTGTGGATGTCTTTGCTTTCTGAATCCTCAAACAAGCTTTAATAAATCATAAATAATTTGTCACTTCAATTCCCCTTTTTTGCCTTATACAAAAAGAAGGCTACAACTAACATAAGAAAAACTGTGTACAGTAAGTATAATAAGTATATACAATATATACAGGCAATAAGTTTGTCAACAATATCTAGTTCATTTGCATTTGACAAATTCAGAGAAAATACTTCATTATCTATTCTATCTTGTTGAGTCCAAAGTCTTATATGTAATTTATTTTTTGTTGTAATTTGCATTATCAAGTTATCTTTTAATGTCTCTCAACCTTTTACACTTTACATATCTTTAGTAAAGATATGTAACTCTTTTCTGAGTTTGGAAAACTATAACTATACTAAACAGCCTTCAACTGCCTCAGAGACCCAAGAAGGAAATATTAACTGAGTAAATAGGAAGTACAAGCGAGCAACTTCCAAAAGTTGTGATAAATGATAAAAACAGCTGGCTGCCTGGATAGTCACCCAAGTTTCCTCTACAATATTGGGGCATCCATCTTCAGCCTATGGGCCTAGCATCTCTGACAGACTTTTCTGTGGAGCAGGATTTTCTGAATGGTTGTCCTACATTGTCTTGGCAAGGTTTTGTACTCTTTTGTGTCCTGTTTGTCCAATTTGGACACTATTTTGTCAGCAGTCAAGGAAAGGGCACTTTCTTGCCCAGTGGCTTACTTTTGCCATAAAGAAAGTATCAGGTATATGGCTTTATGGAAAGCACAGGCAGGTTGATCTCTGTGGGTTCAAGGCCAGCCTCCTCTATGTGAGTTCCTGGCCTGCCAGGGCTATACAGTGAGACCCCATCTCAAACAAACAAAAAACAGGAAAGGGAAGAGGGGATGGAGAGATGGCTTGATAGTTAAACATAAACACTGCTCTTACAGGGGACCAGGGTTTGAATCCCAGCATCCACCTCAGTCTTTTCACAACTGCCTGTAACTCTAGATCTAGGGTAATTTCGCGTCTCTGGCCTCCACAGACACACATGTGTCACACATAAACACGCATGGTTAAATAAATATTTTTTAAAGGAGAAGAAAAGGGAGGGACAGAGCTAATGTTCTGCAATGTACCGTGCTGCTAAACTTGGATACTTGATAAGTTAGTTGAAATCAATATATTTATGTCTATGATATTTGAAGTTTACAGTGGGCTTATTGAGACTTAAACCCACCATAAGTTAAAGAACAACTACTATTTGTTTTCATATGCATGAAGTCATACCCATATTAAAGTCCATTTTATAAACCAGACACAGGAAGATACCAACCAAAACAGCTAACAATCAACTGGACACTGCCAACAATGTATTACAATTAAAATTATATAAACGTGATCTCTCTCCTACTACCTCAGTATATCTTACTCTAGCTTACTTTTGATGATGTGAAGGACACAATACTGCAGTTGACTGTAGATAATGAGGACCACTGGAAACTGATCCATTGATGGGGGTGGGGGAAGCTGCGCTGTGTATAGTAGAACATGTATTTCAACTAAGGTGTGTCTCATCAAAGCTGGTGACCAGCATGGGCTGTGTCTTTTTCTGTGTAGGAGGCAGGCACCTCAGGCTAGAAACAGTTAGGATAAAGAGCAAAGGAGAGTGACTGTATTTTGAGAGCCAATGTAGGTCAACTGTCCAGCTGCAAATGCTGCCTCTACAGGTACATACACTGATGCCACCATCACCGAGCAGAGATTGGTCTCCATGGTCTTTGTGTTCTGCACCTACTCCATCTCCTCCTTCTGTTCACTGGAGCACATCCTTCAGGACTTACAGAAACTGTCCCTCTAACTCACAAATACATGAGCTATTCCTCGTTTAGGGAAGTTGGAGTCCTGAGCTTCCTAGAAGCAGGTAGAAAGAGCAGACAAGAGCACTGCCAACAACAAAGGAATGGATTTTGGATAGAATATGAACAGCAAATACAATAAAAGTAATCTTTTTAAAGCTGCCTTGTGGGGTTAGACAATACATTAAGCCCCAAGAAAAGGAAATGTGGACTTCTTATTGCCTATAATACAATGAGTTTACTGGGAAAATAAAAGTGCCATGTGCAGATGGACTCTGCCTCTTCTATGTACAGTCCTGCTGCCAGGAGTTTGGCCCAGTAAATCTGTTTATAATATTTATTTAGGATTCCTTTTCATTTCTAATCTTAAATTGTTAAATTGAGAATTAGAAGTTTTACACTTTAAAAATCTTTCTCCAAATACTTTTATAAATTTGTAAGTTATAAATCCAGTCTGTCATTCTGTGAGTCCTAGAAACCAATTTATTGAGAATTCATGTGCCCAACCAGTAAAACAATGCAGAAGACTAGCTGGGGTGGTTTGAACAAGAATGGACCCATAGGCTCTTATAGGTGCCCCCTTGTTGGAGTAGTTAGAAAGTGTGTCACCAGAGGTGGGCTTTGAAGTTTCAAAAGCTCATGCCATATACAGTGTCTTGTTCTTTCTCAGCCTGTGGATCAGGATATAAAGCTCTCAGCCACTCCTCCAGCATGTGAGCATCACCATGCTCCCCTCTGAATTTCCCACCTTTATGGTAATGGACTAAACCTCTGAAACTGTAAGCAAGCTCCCAGTTAAACTCTTTCTTTTATGTTTGCCTGGGTCATGATGTCTCTTCAAAGCAATAGAATAGTGACTAAGAAAGACACGAGGAGACATCTAATCAGAAGGCCTACAGCAGCATTTGCTCCTCACTGTCATCTGTGTTTGTTCAATGCCTTCAAGAAAACCAAAAATTTAGAACCAAGAATGGTGTGTCAAATCTATAATCTCAGCCTCACAGGAGATTCCTCATGTGTTAGAGTCAAGCCTAGGCTACATAACTAGTCCCAGGACATCCTGGACTATAAAAGTAAAATTCTGTCTTTAAAAAAAAAATTCAAATTTTACAAAATCATCTTGATTTCAGGCTTCAGATGAAAAGTGTTTGATTGGCACCACTGGGCTTGTATTGGCACCAACAGAATGGAATGAGCTAAACAGGTACTTTTTATTGACATTGTAGAGCAAAAGATGGAGAGATTCTTGACCAGCCTTCATCCCCATCCTTGTTTGCTGCCAGCAAGTCAATTCTTTTACCATATACCCTTTGCTTCCTCTCTTCAGGATGAGACTAACTTCCAGAATGATTCCATCTCAAAAATATAGTTGTCTAAACAAAACCAGTTCCATGCCAGTATGGATGGGGAAAATCTCTCAAGGCCCTGCCCCTAAATGAAGAGCAGCAGATGATTAATGACTTCTGGGAGGGGAACAATCAGTCCTCTCCAGGGAAGAGGCCCTGGAGAGTTATCCATTCCTAAGTGGTCAACACAGACACATAGGAACAACAATAGACTCTGCTGGCTCTCGCTCTCGCTCTCTCTCTCACTCTCTCTCTCTCTCTCATTCTCTCTCTCTCTCTCTCTCTCTCTCTCTCTCTCTCTGTGTGTGTGTGTGTGTGTGTGAACAGTAATTAAATAAGAGGTCATGAGTGGGAAAGGAAAAGGGAGACATGAGAGGAGTTGGAGAAGAAAAAGGAAGAGGCGGAAATGATGTAAATATAGTACTACCTATGAAATCCTCAAAAAAATAAAATAGAAAAAAAACATCCTTTTAAAAATAGGTTCTGGAGAGATGGCTCAGTGGTTAAGAGCACTGGCTCTTAACCAGAGGACACAGGTTTGATTCCCAGCATGAACATAGCAGATCACAGCCATCTTTAACTCCATTGTCAGAGGATCTGACACCACGTTCTGGTTTCCACGGGGACTGCATGTGGTACCCAGACATATGCAGGCAAACCACCCATACACGACATGACCCTATGTCAATAATAAAAGAAAAGATAGATAGTGGCAGGGTAGAAAGGAGCAAGAACACAGACAATCCCAACTGGTCAGCAAGAAATTTTTTAAAAGCCAAAAAGGAACAGATAGAGTGCAGGTTTTCTTCTGACACCAAATATATGTCATTCACCAGGCAGGCCTGAAGTCACTGACACTAAGTGGATATACAAGAGTACCACTGAATTGTGACTCTGACAATCACTCAGCATAGACACTCCACCCCAGCCTTGTCCCCAGGTAAGGATTCCATGTCACCAGATTGCCAACACTTTTTACCACAGTTGCAAATTCACAAGGCCATCCAATGTGTCTGACCTATCTGCTGAACACTGAGATATCCAGACTCCCTCTCTTCATGTTAGTGTGAACCGAAGTTTCTGGGGGCAAGGAGAGCCACGTGTATGTCTACAGATTCTACCAGGATAATTGACTTATTGGAATTCCATGATTGTGATGATTTGTAACATTGCCGATCAGAGTCAAAATTATTTCAGACTGGCTTAAGTCCCCTTAATAGACCCTCACTGCCCACCTGTGTCAGAATGATCTTTTGATTACCAGGTTAAAATTCTCTGGGATGTATTAACTTAGCAGACCACTCGATTCCATCAACCGAAACTAAGAATTTCTCATCAGAGAGCACCTTCGTAGTGCAAAGAAGCTGTTTTGCTGCTTTCCTGTCACCCCCTATCCAGCATTTCTACTGAGGTATTTGAAAATATTTGATTTGTGGCTTGCCCTTGTTCTGTAACTATAAAACCCTTTATGATACCTTTCCCACGTTGGAACACATTATTCAGGACAACCCGAAGCTGTGTCCCTGGGTCGCATGCACTGTCTCCTGCTCCCTTTGAAGCAAGAGCTGTGCTTTGCATCGTGTGACAGTTCCCCTGGATGACTCTCAGCACTCAGGTAAGAAGCCTGCTTACTATTAGGGTTTATCATAAATTATACAAAGATGGACAGCCCGATGGCAATGACGCACAGGGTGAGGGATGAGGAGGAGGCTCACAACCTGCCCCCCCCCCAGGACTCTTCTAGAACATAAGGGCATTAACTAGTCCATGTGTTCCCATCTTTCACTGTTGGAGAGTTATCATTTAATCTTCATTACTCCTCTTCCCCCTGGAGCATGACAGAATGTTCTTACTTTCTAATCATATCTTTGGCAGTGTTGAGGCCCCACATTAGGTCAATCTTAAGGGTAAACTTAAACATAACCAAACGGAATTAGGGACAAAGACCAGTTGGGTTTTGTGCAGGGAGGGGGGCTTGGTTGACAAAGCTGGAATTAGATTCATTAAAAAATTAAAATATCATTCTCTTAAGGACTGATTGAGAAAGAGAAAGATGTGGGATAGAGGGAGGCACGGACAGAAGAAGCATGGGAGGGAGACGGGGTGTGGGCCATCATAAACACATTAGCCAGTAGATTTTAAACCAGTAGAAAAGACAACTTTCTAAAACAGTAATGGACAATGCCAAAATTGGCTTAAGGAGAAGTAAACAGCTTTACATAAAGCAGCAGACATTAAAGAAATAGAAATGGTTAAAGGAAAAAAATGAAAGAAAGAAAAAAGAAAAGAAAGCAGAAAGCCCTTCTTTTTCTTTAAGTAAGTGTGAGCTTTAGATGGTTTTGCCAGCAGTCGGAGCACAGAAACACAGCTCCACACTGCCACATACTGGGGAGTTCCCCTATGTTTTTAGGGACCTTGGCCCAGCCAAACTGGAACTCACAGCTACAACACTGAAAGGAATCTCAGGACTAGGAAGGAGAGTGAAGCAGAGCTGGCAATGTAATTGAAGAGATTTTAATATAGGCTTCAGGGCTGACAGAAAGAGAAAGACCCATCCAAGGGGCAGTATGTGCTCCCCAAGGGAGAGTCCAGGAAAGTAAGAGAGACCTAAGTGTGGTTACAGGCTCTTTTAGTGGCAGTAGCCTGTATTATCTTAGTATTATCCATATATACCATGTTGATGACACTCAGTTACATCTCAAGAGGTTGCTAAGAAATCCTTCTTCCACCCTTCTCTTTATGAGAGATACAGAAGGTGGCTTTGGAGAAGCCTTGGGTAGAATTACAATCTGACAAGGTGGAACTGGGTGCCACTTTCCCTGTAGACAGGACTTCTGGGGAGATTCTGAGAAAATTGCAGGTTTATGGCTGGGAAAGGCCTCAGGCGGCTGTTAATGGCTCTGGAATCCATACTTCCTCTGCTCAAGAGAGACTTAAACCTGGCTCTTGAACTGGGGCTGTGGAGGAAGACATGAAGAAATGGTGGCAATTAGCTAGATTAAAATGTTTAACTTCGGTGCAACAAACAATGGTTTAAAACAATAGCGGCGTCCTTTTGAAGTATGTTTCCATCGCTGTGACAAGATGCTGGACATCAACACATTAGGTGAGGAAGGCGTGTCTGTCTGTCCATAGTTTCAGAGGTTTGGGCTCATATGGGAGACAGAGTGAGGCATTGTAGAACAGTTCACATTATGGCAGCCAAGAAGCAGAGAGGAAGAGCCACCCACAGGCTTACCCCCCGCCCCCCGCCGCCCTCTTTGATGACTTCTTTTGAAAAGCATTAGTCAGATATTTTATGTGAGCTGTCCCTCAGGATTTGCCTGGTGCTCTTCTCTTCATTATGCTGGGTTTGTAGGTTTGGAGAGAGAGCACAAGAAAAGTAAAGTGCCCTTTTCATATCCTACCGTGAGACAAATCACTGCCATGTCAGGGGTACAGGATCAGGAGCTGGGGACACAACCCCACACTGAGGACTTCTCAGAGACCTCTGCTGGGGTGAAGATGGGATTCTTGACTCTACTGCAGAAAAGAACTCAGTCAGTGTGAAGCAGAGTTGGGGGTATTAAGGAAAGACCCTTTGGGGCTGGAGAAATGACTCAGAATTGGAGAGCAGTAACTGCTCTTGCAAAGGAATCTAGTTTGATTACTAGCACCCAAGATAAGTGGCTAACCACCATCTGTAACTCCAGCTCCATAGGGATCTGAAGCCTCTACCCTCTGAGGGTGCCAGCACACAGGGCACATGCCCACACAGAGATCCACACGGTACACATAATTAAAAATAAAATAACTCTTCAGAAATATTTAACCCAGATTTAGTCATGATGATCAACAGGAAGATAGAAGCTGAGTGTGCACTGGGTGTGAGTGTGGACTTCCTAAGAGAGAGAATGCCTAAATTTCCTAATAACCACCATATATATGATTTCTTCCTGCTAAAAGAGTTTTAAGAGGTTTCCCACCTTGATTTTTTCTCAATGGGATCAAAGGGATATGATTATAGAAACAGTAACTAACAAGAGGTGCACAAAAGGACAGATCAAAGGGATATGATTATAGAAACAGTAACTAACAAGAGGTACACAAAAGGACAAGGACATTTTCCCTGTAAACCAAGTGTATAGTCTTTTTTAAAAAACAGATCCCCTGTAAGTTGAAGTTTTACAACTGGGAAAGAAGAAAGGCATCCTCTAAGATACCAGGAACTTAGGCCTTAAGCACGGTTTATAGCCATCTATAAACATTCACATTTGAAACGTTGCTTGACAGAAGGTGGATTGCCTCTGTGTGACCTTGCAGAAGACTGGGTTCATCATGTTCCAATTCTTTGTTTTCCTTACATTTAAAACATTTTTTTCTCACATAATATATTCCGAACATGGTTTCCCCTCCCTCCACTCCTCCCAGTTCCTCCCCTCCCATCCCAAGCCATCCCCTTTCTGTCTGTCATTAGAAAACAAACAGGCTTCTAAAGGATAATAATAAAATAACATAAAAGAGAAAACAAAAGCTAACACATTAGAATAGGACAAAACAAACAAACAGAAGGAAAGGGGGTCAGGAAAATGCATAAGAAACAGATACAGACATAGAGACCCGCTTGTTGGCACACTTGGGAATCCCATAAAAACACAAAACTGGAAGACATACTATTTATGCAAAGGACCTGTAAGGGTAAAATGGAAAAAAAATAGACGTATAAATAAAATAAAAATTTAAAATAAAATAAAAAAATTAAAAAGCCTTGGGGAGACTTAATAGCTCCAGGAGGAAAGACATCTTCCCCGTTTTCCTTCAGCTCGCCCACCTTCCTGCCCTGCCCCTCAATGACAAGGTTGATCACCTGACTGAAGGGATGCCCAGATTTCTCCATTGTAGAAGTTACTCATGCTCTCTTTCCATGACTAGACTCTGTAAGGAGATTGCTATGCACAGAATAACTATCCAATCAATCTTGTAGTATTATGCCTCAAAAAATATATCCTCCATGTCAAACTTTGCAAATTGTTGACATAAAGTTATTCCAACTTTCTGTCTTGACTAAGAAAAAAAATTCCCTATGTCATATGTGGTAGACCCTTTTTTACACCTCCAATTACTTGTATAATTATTTGATTTCAATTTTACTTGAAAATTGCTCACCCCTTTCCATTTTTTCTCTAAGAATCGGCTTGTATTCTATTGACCACTCTGATTGTTTCTTATTATTTTATCTGCTATTAGTATCTTGTCCTATACATGACATCCTTATTTCCATTCTTCTCCTGCTCACTGTGTTATTTTCTAACCTTGACTTCAGTAACTAGTTTTATTTTTTTTTCTTCTTGCATGGAGGCCATGCAAATCTTCTGTCTCACTCCAATTTTAGTCTTTTTTCATTGCTACTTAATATCAGCATTTGCATATATGTATTTCTTTTTTGATATAATTTGGTGGCATGTACAAGGCCTTCATCATTATTCATTGTCAAATATTTTGCATTTTCATTCTTATTTACATTTAAATGAGGAATTTGCAAGTTGTCCAGATGTCCTTTGTGACTCAGTATGGAAGCTACTTTTCATCTTCAAATATACTTGAAAATAATGAATTGCTCTCTGTTTCTTTGAGGTTTCTTTCCCCTTACTTTGCTGGGATTTCCACTAAATACAGATGCTGAGGGCTGGGGACATGACTCAGCTGTTTAAAGATCTTGCAGAGGACCTGGGTTTAATTCTCAGTATTTACGTGGTAGCTCAATATTGTTGGTAACCCCAGTTCAAACAAATCCAGTGCCCTCTTCTGTCCTCCAAAGGTACTGCATTCACATGGCGCACATACATACATGGAAATGGCCATATACCAAAAATATAAATGACCTTTTCAAAGTATAGATAGGTAGATACTGATGTTTTCCCCCTCTGTGCCATACCTTTTAACTGGCCTATCATATTTTCTCAACTCTACTCTTCATTGGGTTCTTGAAGAACTCTTTAATCTGAACTTCTAGCTCCCTAATTGACTTTCAGATTAAGACTTCTCTACTATGTTACGATAAATCTTTCTGCCAAAAGCCACCTGAGCCCCACCACCACGTGTGAGCTTTATGCCAGCCGCCAGCCTAAGTTAGGCCCAAATGAATACACAGAAACTTGTATTAGGTTCAAAGCTGCTTGGCCAATGACTAGGATTCTCATCTGTTAGCTCAGTCTCAATTATCATAAATCTATGTATGTTATAAGACTTATCTTATCGGACGCCTTATTGGAGTCCCTCCTTGTGGGTGGATCACATCCTGCCACTGGAGGAGGAAGGGGAAAAGGAGACCCTTCCTGTTCCTCCTCCACTTAAATATGTCATTTCCTGACTGGATCATCACTTCTCTACTACATTTCCCAGAATCCTCTTTGACTTCTAGTCCTGTTTAACTTCCTGTCTCATTGGCCAAACAGTATTTTATTTAACAATCAATAAGATAAACAAACAAAGAAGTACATTCCCCATCACTATTTTTTCCCTCTGAACACCTGTTTCTGCTTTACATTTTCTGTTTCTGCCTCATCACTCTGTAATGATACCCAGGCTTGATTCTGATTCCTATTTTGTATGGTCAATTACCTCCCCAGCCCCCTT